AAGGCCAGATGGAGAAAAGCCGCTGGACAGTTGGCTCCCACCAGGTTGCAGAACGCAGCCACATCGAGGCCAAAGTCCTGCGGAGAGAAAGGGTGAAGGGAGGGAGGGGTTGGGGAAGATCTATCCTACCCCCTAAAGAAAGATGCTCTTTGGAGGCAGGACCAGGGAGCTAGCTGCCACACTGCCTGGACTCACCCAATTGCAACCATGTCCCCCCCCTCAGAAATTTAAGGAGATTGCTCAAGAGGAAAAGCCTTTCCCAAACGAGCCCCCCCCCCCAATACAGAGTGCTTCCAGTGAGACCCTCGGTGGCTTCCAGGGATTTGCTTCTGGGCTGGCTGGGCAGGGAAGGTTCAGCCCCCTGGGTTTTATGCTGCAAACAAGCTGGCAGGAACGTGCACTAGCTAGAGCTCCCAAATGAAAGAAGCATCAGCCTTATCCTGCCTGCCCCCCAGGACTCTGTCCGAAGACCCAGGCACCCCAATAGGGATGCCAGAGGGGAGCCGGGGTCAAGATGTCTCCAGGATACAGCCTGGCATGCAAGCAAGTAGCTGCGCAGGAAAAGGCCTCTGAGAAGCAGTCAGGAAGGAGACCCCACTTGTTGGAAGGCAGCCTGAGGTTCTGGGGGGCTTTTAAAAGGGACCCTCTGACCATTTTAGCATCACAGCCAACATTCGGCTTTCCGTAATCGTTCCATGGCTTTTAGCGTTTCGGGAAGGCTAGATGGTTCTCTGCTGCACCAGGCACAAAGAGTGGCAGGTAAGCGGCACTTAAGCCAAGGCAGCCTCTGCCAGCCAAGCTCAATGATGGGAACTATGACCCCCCCCTTGCACCCCCCCACCGTCCCATGAGGCCTTTGCGTAGTCATCGCCTCCCCCCACTGCCCCGTGGCCAGCAAGTAGGCCTTGACAGGTGCAATGGGTTTAAGCGGTGTGCTGATTCAATGAGCACCCCCCATCCACTCGTCCATGAGCAGGCTGAACAAGCCGCGTTCCCCTGAGTCACAAGAGGGGATTGGGCGAATGCCACGGGGGGGGGGGGGCTCAGCTACTGCCCTGGTGCAAGACTAGCCAGGGGGTAAAACTGGCGAGGCTTCCTCCCTCTAGGACTCCTGACACCGAGGGAGCCAGACGGAGCCGCGCTCCAGAACGTCTTCGTGGCACCTCATGGCTGCAAGTTAGTTCACACATGCACCGTTCCCTCTCCCCCCCCCCTGAAATCTGATCCCCTGCCAAGGACAAAGCATTCAGGGACTGACTGGAGAAAGGAGCCCCCTCAGAGCCCCTTGGAGCTCAGCCCCTTCCAGACGCCTCCAAGCTCCTGGACTCTGTGCAGGACCGGCTCTTCTCTGCCAACCCGTCTGCCCACTTTAAGCTCTCTCTCCCCAAGGGGGCAGGCAGTCTCCCCTATGGCTGGGGCTGCAGAGGGATGGGGGGGCTTACCTCGGTGCGAGGCAGGTAGTCGGGGTCGGCTGGCACTCGCGCAATGGTCTCGCAGAGGATGATGCCATAGGCAAAGACGTCCGCCTGCAGGAGACAGTGATGGGGTGGTCTCGGAGGGTCTGGGGGAGCCCTGGAGCTGGGGGGCCAGGGAGAACTGGGCCAGGGAGGGGAAAAACAGGTGCCCTCATCCTCTTCCATCCCTCCCCCGGTCTCCCTCTCATTGTCACTCTTTCTCCCGGGGCTCACCTTCTCGTTGTACAGTTCGCCACGCAGGACCTCGGGGGCCATCCAGTATGGAGAACCCACCACGGCCAGGGGCTCCTTCTCGCTGCCCTCACTGGAAGGAGAAGGAGGAGGGGCTGTGAGAATGCCAGGGTCAGGAGTTTGGGGGGGTGAACAGAAGGAGCAGCAGCCAAACTCACCTGTAGGTGGGGATCTTCTCTGCCAGGCCAAAGTCACCCACCACTGCTGTGTAGCCATTGTCCTCACACCTGACCAAGCAGTTCTGGGGGGGGGGGGAGGAAGAGAGGTACATTTGAGAGGCCATTCCAGGTAAAAGGCAGCTCCCAGGATGGGGCATCTCTGACCAGACGACCCCCTCCCAGGGAATAAGGAGAAGGCTTAGGGGACGACCACGGCAGAGGCTTCCCAGGTGCCAAGAGACTCTGCTATCCCTTCTCTGGGCCCTAGAAAGGGGGGTCCGGAACTTCCGGGGGACCCCATGGCAGGACCTGCTCTTTCTCCAGCCCACCTTTCAGGGGAGGCCCTTCAAGGCTCCTCCTCCCCAATCAGCACAGCCCCCGGTGTCAAGCTGCCCCACCACTCATCCGAGATCCAGTATTGGATTCCCCTGCTGAATCCTCTGCCCACTTTGAGGCACAGATGTGGGTGTGGGTGTGCACCAGAAACCCCACACACACACCTTGGAGGTCAGGTCCCGGTGGAAGATGCCCTTGCTGTGGAGGTAGCAGAGCCCCCGGGAGATGTCCAGGGCCAGCTTGAGGCGGACGGGCCAGGGAAGTGGGGTGGGGCTGTCGAGCAGCTGCTCCAGGTTCCCCCCATTGATGTACTGCGGAGAGAGAAAGAAGGGCAAGTTGAGGGGGCCTCGGTCCCCCAGAACAGCCAGGCCCTTGGCTGATCCTTGACGCCCAGCCCCTAACACCTCACCTCTGTCAGCGCATGCAGCTGGCCCTGGTGAACGCAGACCCCCATGAACCTGGCAGAGGAAGAGAGGAGCCGTCAGCAGTGAGACCCCTGCCTGGTGTCCCTTAGCCCACCTGGAGCTTTCCTCTGTCACCAGCACCCCTGGATAAAAAGGAACAGGACTGCCCCCTGCTCTGCCATGGACACCAGACGCCATGCTCACCCCCTCCCCCACTCCCAGAGGGTGCTCTACATATGAGGAGCTCTGGGTGGGGCTCTCTCAAGCCATTCGGGGTGGCACCAGGAGACCCCTGGCAGGAGGGGGCCAGGAGCAGGTGGTGGAGCCCTTCTTCCACTGGACCCCTCAGCATTTACGCCTGGCCCTCCCAGCTTCCCAAATATGCTGGACCTTCCCCCCCAGTGGGCTGTTTTCTTCCAGACAGGGGAGCCCCGAGCTCCACCAGCCCCTCTGCCGTACCGGAGGATGTTGGGGTGGCAGAGCCGGTTCATCAGCTGCACCTCACGCAGCATGTTCCCTCGGTTGCTGGTCAGCTTGTTCATCTTCAGCACCAGGACCTGCCCCGACTGACGGTGCCTCACCTGCAGGGACAGCCGTCCGTCACTCCGGGTCACCCTGGCCCCATAGCTGGCGCAGAGAGGAAGCCCCGAGTCCCGTCTGGATAGCACCCCGTGGAACCAGCCCCAATGGCAGTCAGTGCCCAAAGGCCTTGGGGAGCAGAGCTTTTCCAGCCTCAACATGCTGAACCAAACCCCTGAAATGCCCACGCAATCTGTCCCTAGGCTGGGAATCATGGGAACCAAAGTCCAATGTTCCGAGGAGATGGAGTACCGGCTTCAGAATCAGCCAGAGCTACAAAACCAGAAAGCCAGAAACAGACTCAAAGCTTTGGAGATGCTTGAGAGCCTGTGGCCAATTTCCCCACCCCCAAATGGCCTCTACCCCAGGGTTTCCCATCCACGGCACTTGAGGGGGTGTGGACCCCCAGAATTCCCCAGCCAGCATGGTCTCAGCCCCCTCCTCAGTCAGCAGGCTGCCTGGGGGGATTCTGGGGGTCCACACCTCCTCATGTGCCATGGTTGGGAAACCTACTCTCAACAGTTCAGCCAAAGTTTCCAGACACCTGACACAAGCATCATGAACCCCACCTCACCCCAGTTCTGCTGGAGCTCCCTTCCCCAAAATTGCCAGTGGGCTCACATTCAGGGAATCAGAGGACACCCCCCCCCTTTGAGGAGGGCCCAAAGAGCAAAATGTGGAGCAAAAGAGGGGGAGCTGCAGGAAGGGGGGAGTATAATAATCCATAATAATAATAAAGTTGGAAGGGACCTTGGAGGTCATCTAGTCCAACCCCCTGCTCAGGCAGGAAACCCTATACCATTTCAGACAAATGGCTATCCGGTCTCTTCTTAAAAACTTCCAGTGTTGGAGCATTTACAGCTTCTGGAGGCAGGTTGTTCCCCTGGTTAATTGTTCTAACTGTCAGGAAGTTTCTCCTTAGTTCTAGGTTGCTTCTCTCCTTGATTAGTTTCCATCTGTTGCTCCTTGTCCTGCCTTCAGGTGCTCTGGAGAATAGCTTGATTCCCTCTTCTTTGGGGCAGCCCCTGAGATATTGGAACACTGCTATCATGTCCCCCCTCATCCTTCTCTTCATTAGACTAGACATACCCAATTCCAGCAGCCTTTCCTTATATGTTTTAGCCTCCAGTCCCCTAATCATCTTTGTTGCTTTTCTCTGCACTCTTTCCAGAGTCTCAGCATCTTTCTTACATCGTGGTGACCAAAACTGAATGCAGTATTCCAAGTGTGGCCTTACCAAGGCATTGTAAAGTGGTATTAACACTTCACGTGATCTTGATTCTATCCCTGTTAATGCAGCCTAGCACAGTTCAGTAAACTGTCTCTCCCATTGACAGAAATATCACCAAGCAAGAATCCTCCCTCTGACTCCCAGGTTGCGATGGCTTCTCCTGACCTTCCTCGTTCCAAAGGTTTCTCATATTCTAGCATAATTGCAGACTTCATCTGGAAATTGCTGAGCAGCTGTATTTTTATTGATTTATAGCCTTTGCACCAGCCATTGTCTGAAGCGGCACAGAGAGGAATGTGGCATCCCTGCCCGGAGGCTTGCAAAACAGAAAGGGCAGGGCAGGACCGGTCAAGAGGCCTCAGGACTTTTGTGGGACCATGGGAGGCTTGCAAAGCCAGGGCACATTAAGCGGAGGCGATGCCTCTGCCCCACAACTCCTGTGCCAGCCTGCCCCCCCTACCCACTTCCCTTCCCTCATTGACCCTCCAGCGACCTCTGCTTTAGGACAGGAATCTGGGTGCATCGGAGCAGCTTCTAGCACCCCACACAGGGCTAATGGGGCAGGAAAATTGGGGGAGGCCAAGCAAGCCAACGCTCGGAAGCCCATTGCCCCAGCACTGCCATCAACCGGGCACAAGGACAAGGCGAAGGGCACCTGCCCAGGTGGCACACATGTGCTCTTTCAGGGCCAGGAGTTTCCACTGGTGACCCCAAAGCCAACTCCAGCATCCCCCCCCCCTTGGCTCCATTCACAGCTCCACAGTGGCCAACCGGAAGACTGTGCAGGTGCCCACCGGGATCTTTGCCCAGAGAGTAAGAGCCCCACAGGCTGCTGCCAGGTTTGCGGGCCAAAAGGAGCTGCTTTATTTATTTATAAATCATATTTATATAGCCGCCTGCCTCACCGAACGTGACTCTGGGCAGCCTAGCGTAAAACCATTAAAGAAACCTTAAAAGAAACCCAGTCTCCCCCACCCCACCCCACCCACGGAGCACAGACTTAGGGGTACAGTTTCCCCATGGTGGAAGGTCAGGCCTTTCCCCAACACGGCCCTGGGAGGACAGGACCGGGAGGAGGGGAAGTGGCTGGAAACGTCATTTTCCAGGGACAAAATTTCAGCCAGGAGCTGAGCCCAGACAGAGGATGAATCTGTACCAGCCACGGCAGCATCCCCCACCCCCCACCCCCACCCCCAGGGCCCGGGAGCAGTCTGCAGCCCCTCATGCCCTGGGCAAGGCAGGCTTGTTGAACAGCTGCCCGGACAGGCCTAGCCGTCTCACCGCCCTCCCCTCACACTGCGGGTGCATCCTCCCTCTCAAATTCCTGGGCTCTTGCAGCCAGAGATCATTCCTGTCCTTTTTAGTCCATGCCTGAGTCTCCCTCCGCTGCGCCTGCTCCCCCCACCCCATCCTCCTGGCCCTGGATATGCCTGACCCCCCCCTATTCCGGGAGGGGCCTGGGTTGTGCAACCAGGAGGAGCCCAAGATAAGAGTCTGTCCCTGGGTGGGCAGTGGGGGGGACACAGCCCTCCTCTTTGGTTGGAGCCCACTACCCCCTTTTTCAGCAAGGGACGGGGGTGCCTCCATGCCAAAGCTCCAGGTGCCCCCTCTCCATCCACCCCATGCCAAGCCTGGCAGAGCTCATTGCCCCAAGAAAGAGCTGTGAGACTGGAGGCTGAGCACCCCAGCTGTGCTGGCAAGGGAGGCCCAAGGTCAGACGGGGTCACGTCGCCCAGAGGGGGACCCTGTCCAATAATAATAATAATAATAATAATAATAATAATAATAATAATAATAATAATAATAATAATAATAATAATAATAATAATAATAATAATAATAGTAATAGTAATAGTAATAGTAATAGTAATAATAATAATAATAATGAGGAGGAGGAGGAGGAGGAGGAG